TAATAATAATAATGTTAAGAAAGGCGACTAGCTTTGATGATCAAACCTCACAAAGCATGGAGATGTACATTTTTCCGATTTTCCACGAGCCCAGTTATATTTAACTTTTGGCTAAATTCACTTCGGGTTTCATACCCAAAGGGACATATGTTACATTATGTGTATGTTGTAAATGATATAGAATCTTTCGATTTTATTCAGAATTTCTTAGTTCGTTTACATTGATATTAATATTCGGAATCTTAAGAGTTAATACTAATATTCCGTTTTCCGTTCCGTTAAAGGAGTATACAAATGAAGTAATAATATAATATGTAACAATAATTCTAATATTTGTATGAAATAATGTTACTTAATCTTAGTACTTAAATTGAATCGTATTATTTATTGTCTGCTTTAAATGTTGTGGCCTACTTAAGCAAGTAAATGTTTTACCTTAGTTGCGATTAAATTGATGCATATAAAACAGATAAGTATTATATCAGATAAGCTTTCTTTCTTTTCTTAAAGATGTCACAAATGTATGCAGTTCTTACTTAAAACTGAATACATTTAATCAGAGAAATCTTCTTTAGCTGCATGTTAGTGTATATTAAATTGCATTTACTGCTGCTCCTCTCCTCCCTCAGTTGCATGCTGCTAGAACTATTAATTTATATAAATAAGTGTACATATATTTAAACTAATAGCAAAAGCCATTTGAGTTTGGCGCTTTAGTTTGTACATTGCTTTGATCTTTAGTTGGAATTCCAAATACATTTATAAATAAAATACACCCTGAACGAAGCAAGTTCTCTGTATACCTCTACTACTTTCCACCCATGCACCGAGCGTTCGCTTTTTGAGTTGTGATTATTGTTGTTGTCACCTTTGAACTGGAAAACCAAAACCAAGAAACAAAAACGAAATCCAGCAACTCACTTAACACAAAAACAAATTGAATAACTGCTTACTGTCGCCCTATCGCCAGTTGTTGCCAAATTGCCAAAGCTTACCAAAGTCAACAAACTACTTAATGTGTATGCAAGACAAACAGGCATAGTCCACTATATGTGCCCAGTATATCATATGCTATAGAAACTATAGACAACTGATAAAAGAAAACACCTCACTTGTGACACTTTAACTACCTCAACGTGTATTATACTTAGTTGTGCAGCCCATGTACGTGTTAACCGCTTACTAATAACTGTCGACAAATCTGCTAACGTGACACCCGAAGCGATCACCCAATCACTTAACAACAAACATCCAACTATACCTAACAACCACATACAATGAACTACCTACTTACAAGAGAAACAATAATAAACTAATTGAACTTTGAACAAAGTCTGGCTATGACAGAGACATAGACAAATGACTAATCTGAACATATGTCTTTGAGACTGGTCCCTGCACAATTTGCTAATTCATATTCTATATCCCCATAAAAGGTACACGAAGCCGACGCCTGCCTGGTGCTAGCTAACAAATATTGCCAAGATCCCGACGCAGAAGATGCTGCCAACATCATGAGAGTGATTTCGATCAAGAACTACAGCGATGATATACGAGTCATCATACAGCTGATGCAGTACCACAATAAGGTAGGAAGTCTATTAAAATCAACCCCAATCGTAAGCTCTATTGATTCCCCCAATGTATTTCAGGCGTACTTGCTGAACATCCCGTCGTGGGACTGGAAACAAGGTGACGATGTTATTTGCCTGGCCGAGCTGAAGTTGGGCTTCATAGCGCAGAGCTGCTTGGCGCCCGGCTTCTCCACCATGATGGCCAATCTGTTTGCAATGCGATCCTTCAAGACGGTAAGTATAGTGCCAGAGTGCTGGAACACACGACGGCTACTCCAAACAAAATACCAGACACAAGCACACTACTGGGGTGTATTCAGATCCAGAGAGAGCAGGCAAGCAAATCAAAACTTTTGCTAAATGCAGTCAAGTGGTGAAGAAGTGATGAGATGTGGTGATGGGGCTGTCTAACTGCAGTCGGCCGGCCAATCAAAATTGTGTAAAACATCAAATCTATATTATGTATGTACGTCTTTAACCCCATAGTCGCCAGAAATGCAATCTTGGACGAATGATTACCTGCGCGGCACTGGCATGGAAATGTACACTGAAACATTGAGTCCCACATTTATTGGAATACCGTTTGCTCAGGCCACTGAGTAAGTTGCGCAGCGGGCAGTCCAATTTCTATATGCTATAAAACCATATTCGTATCGTATCGTATCTATTATACTATCTACCTACTATTCAACTATGTACTTGTTAATCGTGCAGCGTTGACAAATATCGTACCAAAACAAAACACACTCAAACAACAACATAAAACACAAGAATTATTCAAAACAATATAAACACACACACACAAATACACACAGCTTTTATTATCTGTTGATCAGTTCTAATTGATGTTGTAAAATTTTTTACTTTGTCTGTTTTGATTTTCGAAGACTTTTAATATTATGTGGTCTTCACAAATGTTTTCATTGATGTCAATGTCTGGAGAAGTACTATGTAAACATGTAAAATTGCCTGTCTATGGTGTTAAAGATTGATTTATTTTCAAAGATACACATACACACAGCTACATACACACAGACACAAAGCCACACATCGAAGTACACTGTGAACAACTAGTCGGTGTTTTATGCTAATTCTTTGTGTACTTAATGTTTTCAATGTTGAACAGCCTTCAATGTTTGCAAAAATACAAATAACAACATCCTTTGCTGAATATTCTTTTCGTTATCAGATCTCGTTGCATTTGAGGGAACTACAAATCAATGTTGAATGATAGCCACACATATACATACACACACACACCCACACACACACACCCACACACACACACACACACATGCAAACACTATGAAATCGAGAGCATTGTAAAACGCTAATTGTATGGTATCTTTGTGTGCTGTGCTCTCTAGATGCCGAGCCCAACTATGCAGCGTGCAGCATTTGAGTTGATGTTCGATGCGTTTTTATGGTTTTTGTCTTTTGTTTGTCTTATGCTTATTTCACATGAATTTTCGTTTCATTTTGGTTTCTCTGAACTTCCAAAAAAGTGTTTAATGCTAAGCCTAGGAGCGCGTGTAAAGTTTTCTAATAAGCTGATATGAGAAGTATGCCGAAGCTAACGCTTAAGCTAGATCAAAGCCTGACAAACAAATGCTACCCCAAGACACGCCCACACACCTCCCACCAAAACTTACAGACACACACACTACTCTGATATAGTATAAGTGTGCCCGTGTATGTGAACTCAGTGCCAAATCCCAACCGAGTCGAACCCCGAGCCTGAACGAAACCAATGAGCCAACTCTCACTCAAGCGAATACAACTGCAGCAAGAATAAGAACCAGAACCAGAACCAGAACCAGAACAAGAACATTTACAAGAAACAAACTATCGCCACGTAGTTACATTAGCGAACTTACTAAATCCAAACCACAACAAAACCATTTTCTAACTTTCAGTCACCAGACACACAGGCCTGGCAAAATGATTATCTTCAAGGTACAGGGTGTGAGATGTACACCGAAACTCTATCACCTTCATTTACCGGCATGACATTCCCACAAGCCAGCGAGTAAGACTCCAAAATGAGAAAAAATTAGCAAAACAAAATTTACAAAACAAAAACAAAAAAAATTACAAAAAAATAATAATGTTCTTAAAGAAAAAACTGTATAAAAAATACTTTTTCTTGTATACTATTTTGGATTAAGAATTTTATTTATATCATTTGTCAGACTTTGTTCGGAATTCTGTTTTGTTTGATTTATTCCTATTTCTACATACATACTTAATTGTAACAAACTACCTTTTGTCCCCTTTACTAAATACTACTTMCTACTACTACTTACTCGTACCCCACTTATTTTAATTACCAAGTTCGATATACCAGTATGAATGGACTGCAATCAAGGGATTGAGCTCCTTCTGCTTGTATATTTAACATTTTATATATGATTTGGTTTTTGGATTAACAATCGCATTGCATCCGTTCGCATATAATAGTAACCAGCCACAAAGTATGAACAACAGTTTAGAACAAACATATTTACCTAGACACCGCTCGCTTGTTACCAACTCCGCTCCGCTCCGTTCCGTACCGCTCCGCTCCGATTAGTCCCCAGATCAAGCCCCGATTACTGATGACATCGCATATACAACATACTACATACATATACATATGAATACATATGTACATATATATATATATATATATCGATTACCCTCAAATAAATTAGCTCCACGGCACCAGATCAACTATCAACCCATCCAAAGAATCTCCCCCTTTTGGCATGAACATATACGCTTTCTGTTCTGCGTCACCCTCAGCCCGGCTCCATTCCACGCGCTGATTAGCCACAAAAAGCACAGCCAAAAGTGGACAGCATTGACTTGATGTTAATATGAATTTCCAACTATTTTTTATAAACTTTTTTTTTTTTTAATTTGTTGAATTGTTGAATTTTGTACGCATTTTGCCTAGCATGTGGTTTCTTCGTATGAAGTGCAATTAGTTTTTTCTCCAGTGTACGCTTTGAACGCACATACACACCGAACGCATGCTCTGTTCAATAAGGTTTGCACACCATAGTGTAGTGATATTTACTAAGCTTAATTAAGTATACGTAAATGTTCAATCTATCGACACTTCCACTCGATACTGAACTAACAGAATTGTACGATTTCTTCCGCTGCTTGTAGACTGTGTTTCTCCAAGCTAAAGCTGCTGCTGCTCGCCATCGAGATCAAGGGCGCCGAGGAGGGTGCAGACAGCAAGATTTCCATAAATCCGCGGGGCGCCAAGATTCAGGCGAATACGCAGGGCTTTTTCATAGCACAAAGCGCCGATGAGGTCAAGCGGTAAGTCCTAAATGTCTGTCTCTTCCTCTTCTGTAGCCAGTTCATCTCTGTTTGTAGCGCGTGGTTCTACTGCAAGGCGTGCCACGAGGACATCAAGGACGAGACGCTCATTAAGAAGTGCAAATGCAAAAACTGTAAGCATACCTTTGTACCATTTCCCTTGACTCGATAAGACAGTCTCTCTGTCACTGTACGTCTTTGGGTTTCATTTGTTTCAATTTACTTCTTGTATTTCGTTTTTGGTTTTATATACATTTTATATTTTGACCTAATTTCGTCGAGAGCTACGTGAACAGCTTAGATTAAAGTAAACTCTAAGTGAAGGCAAATTAAATAGCTCTAAGTTTTCTCCTTAGGTTCAGGCTCCCCTTATACTAGTTAAGCAGCGCGAAACAAGTTCACACTCTCTATACTTATATATTATATATGATGAACCCTAATCGACCCTACAGCATGTACCGGTATATATATGTATAACTATCTAATTTATTATGAACAACTCTTAAGCCACAATTCTATATGTCAGACATTGTGGGTCCCTCAAACCCCATCAACAACAACGACATAGATACGAACCCTAGCTAACAAAATCAAGTCGACTTCACATGCGCATATACCTACATACGTACCCCTTTCTCTCTATGTATGTGTGTATGTACGTATATATGCATGAGTGCGTGTGTGTGTATATATGTCAGATATATATATGCACAGACGAAGAGCAGATACCGAATGAAATGCAATACATAATAATACAAATAACTGTCATAACTTTGTCCCACAGTGACTGTTCAGCCGAGGAGCAAATTTGACGACTTAGGTAAATCTAAATTGTTCAACACGTTAATGTTAATCCCAAACAATCAAATCAATCCACATCAACACAAACACAGACACACAACAGTAACATAATTCTATGATATAAAAACAAATGACCAATGCCACCACCCAACCACCAACCCAACCAGTTTTACCCCTAAATCAATCCAACTTTCTTTCAACTATGCAAATTACGAATTTCCTTTTGTTTGTATGTACTTTAAATACAACAACAACTGATATTAATCCATTATCAAATGTAACAAAACCAATTCCTCTGTTTGTCATACATTTTTTCCAAGCCTCTTTTTCGATTCCTTTATTATTCTTAATACATCTCTAGTGCACCACCTCACTCCCACCTGTTCAGGTACACACTCTTTTGCAGTTTCCTTGTTTTTTTTTTTTTTTTTTTGTATTCTTTCCAACATACTTTTCTCAATCAGTTGATTTTTCATTATGGATAGTAAACAGTGCAAAAATTAGTTTCCGCACGTTAAGAGTGTGCAGCCATGACTTGTCCCTCTCCAAGAAACTCACCCGCAAATATAAATTAACATACATCTAATGAACAATAAGAACAATGAGAAGTCCCGTCCCGTCCCSTACCTTTGGATATGTGCAGTTAATTTTTCGTCACTTTGTTTTCTTTAATTACAATTACAACTGATATGCGCCTCTTCTCGTATATAATCCAACACACGACTGCATTGGATACACACACATATATACTATATGCCATTTACAACTATACCCGCAACACACCCAAGTATATACATACATACGTTTACTGATGGCTTCCCCTCAGCTGTAAATATGTTTGTGCCATATGCAACCCATGTTTTTGGATTTAACTATTACCAACATGTACTCTGCCACCGAACTGCAATCATTTCAAACTTATTTTGATTAGTAAATTCCAGATATTTGTTTTTGAGTTTGTGGTCCGCTTTGGAGCTCGCCGCCCAGTTCTCAGCCGGCATAAATTGCTTAACAAATAATAATAATAAATATAATATTCTTTTCTGCATGGAAAGCATAATCAATTTCAATTTTCTTTTTAACATATGTTGAGAGAAAAACTCGAATTGCTTCTAGTAAAAGTAAAAGATCCAACTTGATGGCAAGAGTTTCTCTAAGTATTTCCTTATATTTGATACCTACATATATTCAAAGTGCACAATTAATATTTTAACTTTCTCGCCCTTATCCCTGGCTGTGTCTCTCTCTTACTCTCTCTCCTCTCTCTCTCTCTCTCTTTAAGTCAATTTTTGCTCTCCTCATTTTGATTTTTTCGTACCTTTTATATGTGTTTGATGAAACGAAATCAAATTTATATAAACAAAACAAAAACGTGCATGTAACCGAGCACAAATACTAATAAGGAATTTATATATTACACTGTCACCGAATCAAGCTCCTTGAAACTCTACTTTTAAATAAATATTTTTGACTCACCTTTGCAGCTGTGATTTACAATTGCGTTACTAACGACATAAACCTAATTCCGAATAAACTACTTTATATATATAAATACAGTCCTTTTACTATGTAGTAGCAATAAGTTATTCAGATGCTGCCACCACTCGAAGTCTATAAATCTTTATGTTTAAGTTTTAAGTTGATTATCTACTTGGCGTGGCACTAACCTCCCCCACCTCGAAATCTATATAAAATTTATAATTGTAAATAAATACTTGAGCGTAGATATCCTTTCCAATTAATAACAGTGTAAATAATTAATGCCTCGATACGAGAACAACAACAACAACAACAACATTAGCATATATATTAAGCGCGCGCTCCATCATCTAACATGACGTCACGTGACTAACATTAAAGTTAATATATTTGGTTTCTATGTAGCATACTGAATAAACATCTCTATCTCTCTCTCTCTCTCTCTATCTGTCTCTTATATATATATATATTTACTATATATATATGAGCAAATGCGTATTATCTATCTATAAACTAGCACCAATGTTCTCAAGTAGTTAGTAAGTTTTCCAGTTAATGCGTTGCCTGCGTCTGGCTTAAAAACATAGTTAATCGCACCTAACTGGGATAAGAGATGCTCCATATACTCGTATACCATGTTTACTGATTAATATGCCTAGTGTTAAGTCTAGTTAGATTCGTGTGTGTATGTGATATGTGGCCCTCTTACATGTATATACGAATATCAATACCCTAACCGTCTTCCAGATGTGGGCATGATTATGATGCAGACAGGGATGGTCAACCAAGGGATCACATCAGTGATGAATACAATGGAGGGTAAATTGTAAATTAAAATCCAAAATCCAAACTAAAAGAAAAACCAAAAATAAATTAAGTCCCAATAATAGTTTCAAGTTTTGGTGCCTATATTTGTATATCATACAAAGCCAAAATGATTTATTTGTTGCTGCTAAAGTGTTGAACCGCCTACCTAACCGTATTTAGCAAAGCACTCTTCAAAATATATATAGAAATACATATATTTTTTCGGCTACTCAAAATACTTCAAAAACTCTGATTTTGAAGAGTGCATTTGACATTCGGTCAATCGAATTTATTTGACTGTGAAGTAAAATTGAACCAATTATCAAACTTAAATGAAAATCATAAAAAGAAAAACATTTGGTTAATAAAAATGCTTGCAGATTAATAAAAATAAAAACAAAAACGTTTAAAAATTCCAGTATTAATCAGCATTATAAAATAAATCCTTTTTTTTTTGACTAGTACTATACGTAAATGCTATATCATTGTACTTGTGCTAAAGTCCCGGCTGCTAAATGCGTACTCCCGCATCTATATCTCCTCGCCTTGCTTAACTCGAAGGGAATCTAGTGTAAGTGAGATGGATAGCTGAGATCGTCTAACTAGCTGGGAGGTGTCTTAGGAGGGGTCTATCGGATAAGAATAAGAATGTCTACAGAGAGTCGGAAGAGTGCTAAATTACCACATTTTGTTGTTCTTTCTGTCGCTCTATTGTTTCGCTCTATCGTATATATACTCAGTATAAATATACCATTCAACATAGAGTTAATTAGTTTGCAACGATTTCTGGTTTGATTCTACAACGTCGCGCGCATAATTCATATCAACAAAATCATCAAAATAGCTGATATCTCTACATACCTTACCATCATGAATTACATACCATATATTTAATGAACGTTCAACGAAGACGTGTGAAGTGTGACATGTTTTTATATATATATAAATATATTGAATCTCTAAGGACAAATTTAAATATATTTTCGTATTTTCTCTTGCCGCAAAAGCAACAACAACATGCGTATTTTTCAATATATTGAATCTCTAATTTTATATATATTTTACCGTTTGATTTATTGATTTCTTCCGTTGATATTTATAAAAAGTATATTATTTGATGATTTCGAAATGAATAAGCAAACGAACTATCATTACCTTACCATCATTTACCTATTCACACATATCCTATACAATTCTGTTTTCATGAAACGAAACAGTGGCCACCTTCCGGAAAGGCGTCCGAGCCGTACAAATGGTTGGGCGTGCAAGTACGTATAACTTTCTCCCTATGCTCTCTCTCTCTGTCTCTCTATCTCTATCTCTATTACTTTATACTATCTCTATATACATACATATAACTTCTACATGCCTCTACTCTACCGTAACTCAAATAAGCATACGAAACAAATTAATGAAAAAGAACATTACGACTCCACATAATATGCCACTCAACAAATACTCTTACATTCAACTACTACAACTAACCAAGTGAAAGAGTTCTCTCTCTTTTTTCTAAAACGCTCACATCCGATTGCTATGCGCAAAAGTTCAGACAGTCCTCGAGTCTAGTCTAGCTCCCAATGTCAATCACTCAATACATGTCTACCAGCTGAATAAAGCGCACTCACACACATTCACAATACATACATACACACATATACACACCTACACACACACCTCTAATCGTTTCTTCTCGTTCGTTCTCGTAATTGTGTATTTTTCATAATCAATTATTAACTTAACTACTTAGTGTGTGTGTGAGTGTGTAGTTAAGTCGCTAGTACTAAAAAAAAAAAAAAAAAAAAAAAAAAAACAATTATAAATGATTCAAAATTTCAATACTTAAATGAGTATAATTCATAAATTGTTTTCGTAAATTTACTCTTCGTATGTATTCCATACTACAAACTTGTAAACATTAAACATTTATTTCTAACTATCGTATTTAGTACAAACTCTCTGTATCGATCTATACATGTCGACATCACTTCATACATCAGATATATCACATATATGTTATATATGTATATTTATATATGTATACTTTTGTTTTCGTTTCACTATTTATTGAAATCGGAGTCGGACATACAATCCATTATACTATCATCCAATATTTATGTACACATACAAAACATCTAAAGAAATACATAAATTTCTGACTCTGGGGTTTGCTCTTTTTTTATGTAAACATATATAATACTTCTATATATTCCCCTACTCGTATCTCTATTCGTTCGTACCAACTACTTCTACTACTACTACTACTACAATACTCGTACTATGTATTTATATGTCTGTGTGTGTGTAGAAGACGATGAATACTCGTTGTCAAGTAAGTCTAACTAATTCAAGTTTTCAACTCATATACTCGAAAATAAGTTTAAAGCCACATTTGAATTCGTCATAAACATTTATTAGGATTCACATTCTAGAGTTTTATGAATATATATATTAATTTCCTTTCGGTTATTCTTTAGTGTGCCAGTGCACGTTTCTTGACTTTTGATTTGGATCTTTCTTTCGTCGAAAAATGTTTGTGTTGTAACTAGTTCTCTTCTGTTTAAGAAATTTCGAAATTTCATATAAATTGTAAACCTATTCAAGTTACATATATGTTAAGCAACAAAGTTACTCCCGATTACATTTAAAGAGAAAGCGTAGCAAGCATCCGTAGAGCAATACCAAACACCGTTGAGCATTACCATCAGCTGCCCCGCCAATCGCCGCCCGTGCACACAGTACACCCAATCAGTTAAGGAGCGAGCTTGTTAATACTCTCACACTCTCACACTTGCCAAGTGCCATAGAGAATGTGTTAAACGATATCTTAGTGCTGTGTTCTTAGTGCAGACTCCTAGGTAGCAAAGTCTTGAAACTGTTCTTTGAGTGGGTGTTAGACTTCTAGTGCATAACAGTCGAACTAAACGCTTTGCCACATCCAGCCTTTGGAGCAGCAATATAAGGTTTATGCTTTCATTGTAGCCAAAGCAAACACTTGAGATCCTAACCAACTTGTAACTTAACTGCAACGCCTGCTTTTCTTGCTTATTGCTTATTGTAGTGTCGTGCACTTGTCTATCGATTGACTATTGATTGCCTCCAGTTTCGCAATTCCGTATATATTCGCATGTTTTATTAAGGCCTTGATTATATATATGCACTTTTTTATACAAAATAATACAATTATGTAGTTTAGTACCAGTTCCCAAGAAAAAAGCCAAATAAATATAAATAAAATTGCCTGAATTCATTCCCCTGATCATGTTGATCAACTTTCCTTACTTTTCATTTATGGCTTTCGGTTGAACACACACCCAATGTCGAGCCCATTTGATTTGCGTATGATTTGTGAAAAGATATTGTGATCTTGCTTTATGTACAACCGCAACTCTTTCAGTTTTAGTTCACACAAACACAATATTCCCCCCAAAACTCTAATTTGATGTCCTGCAACAGCAAAAAAAAAAAAAAATTAAAATTTTTGAGCTTCACATAAAAAAAAGCATTGTCTTTTACACGAAAAAAAAAAAATAAAATACAAACAAAACAAATATAAAAACCAATTTGATTACCTGAAGCTGTGCGATAACAATACCAAAAATATCTTACAGATGAACACCATCCTGCACCCACATTTACGCCACCAGAGCTACCCAAGCGGGTGCATGTGCGTGGATCTGTATCGGGTAATGTCCTCAATATCAGCTTGTTTAAGAACTCCAATCACATGATATACGTACTTAAGTCTGTCCATTCTGTACACGAAAGAGAAAGGTTATTTTGATCACAGAACGTCCTACAGTTTACTTTGTACACACACACACATGTATATCTCATTTAAGTATACATTTGTATTCTTATTTGTCTGTCCTAAGTTGCCTTATCATTGCCTTATCATTTGTGCTCTACTAAAAAAATATATCCACGAAAAACTAACTAAAATATAAATAAGGAACTGCAAACAATTAAAGAAAGTAAAACAATTCAATAATTAGCTATTTGTTTATATTTTGTTTTCTGTTTTGGGTTCTTAAACATTTTCAGTTAGCATTCCAATGTTTTTGCGTTGAGTAAACAGAAATTGTTATTGCTAATGTAAAAACGAAAAAAAAAAACAACCAAAATAATTAAATTAAATAATAAATAATGTTCATTCAATTAATTAATGTAAATGTTTATATACAGCAACTACTACAAGAAACCAACTGCCAACTCTATTGTACCAAAAGCTTGTTCTTACAAATTATTTAAATTCGATATTGATGTCTACTTATTTAAAGCATTTCACTATATATTTTTGTAAACATTTGTGCGTGTGTGTGTGTGTCTGTTGTGTTTGGTTTTGCATACATACTATTCGCTTGTTAAATACACTGTTTATTTCTTGACTCCACTCACACGCATCACAGCTACAATATATGCGACCCACTAGTCGAGTATCGCAACAACAACTTCAAGCATAAGTAACTCGCTTACTTACCTCTGTACACGCGGCTCAAAGTACCTTTCTTGATTAACTTGGCCAAAATGCATCATAAATGACTCAATCCCAATTTCCTATGCACTCTGCCAGCTGTACCAGAGCATTTAATCATACTAAATTGCCGTTTTCTCTCTCTTTTTTCACACAAACTGTCACCCACCCTCTGTCTCTCTCTCTCTGTTCGCTCTCGCTCTCGCTGTCTGTCTCGCTCGCCAACCAAAAACCTAACAACTGCAACTGCGACAGGTGATATAACACGTGACAGAGAAGATACGAATCGTAAGTGTCAAATTGTATTTAGCTCGACTCTATCCACTCCAGCTTGCTCCAAGCGAAGCCCGATGGTCAATGCACTCAGCTATAACTTAATCTGTTTCTTCTGCCATCTCTCTCTCTCTTTCTGTCTCTGTCGCTCTCCTTGCAGTACTCAATCGGAACGTGCGACGCCCGAACGGAACTGGCAACGGCACAGGTGGCATGCATCACATGAACAATACGGCCGCTGCAGCAGCAGCCGCCGCAGCGGCGGGCAAGCAGGTGAACAAAGTAAAGCCTACGGTGAACGTGAGCCGACAGGTGGAGGGCCAGGTTATATCGCCGTCGCAGTACAACAGGTGAGTGGCCGGAATTGAGGCAGCCCTTAGCATAATCCGAGCACATATATACAGACACAGTGCATAATATATATATATGTATATACATACGTATATATATACTTGTGTACTCCATTGGGCGGGACAGCACGGAACCAACTACACTTCAACTACACACACTGCGAGGGGGGCACTCGGCTTCAGTTACAAAGTATTTATTATACATATGTTCTATATGCAAAGCAAATCGGTTATCGAGCAGACACTTATGGCCTTCGCTGTTCAGCTGTATTCTATGCGTTATGATTTCTTGCGTTTCCTTCTCTTCTTTTGCAACAACTACAATAAGAAATAAGAAAAAAGACAACAAGAACAACAACAGCAGCAACAAGGAAACAGAAACAAACCATTAAACATACGTCTTCAGTTTGATCACCTTATCATTATTTCTTTTACTCTAATACACCTAACAAAATAAGAATAACACTCAGTTCGATGGCCCTTCGACGGCTCGTACATATGTAAATGCTCTTTAAATACTCTCTCTCTCTCTTTCTCTATACATATATATATAAATATATACATAGACTAATCCTAACACCTAAACAAATTGTTTCACTAACAAAAACACCTTTACAACAACTATTAAACAAAAATGAACAAAAAAGACAAAAAAAAAAAACCAACAACAACAACAATTTTATATGTATAAAAAACAAACAACATTTTGTTTCAGGCCACCAGAAAATGATGCTAACCCTTATGCGGGCTATCAACTTGCTTACGAAGTTAAAAAGCTCATGTATGCGTCCATAATTTCCTAGAAATTTTTACTTAACTCAAATTATAAGAAGCCAAAAGCGTTTTTAACTACTACTACTACTACTACTATAACTTAGTATTCGTAAATACTTATTCAAACTATGCGCATTTTGTTAAACACACATTAATTGATTGATTGATTGAAAGCTATTCCATACATCAATACCAAATACAATTCGTTAACCATACGTATGCGTAATTTTTTAATCACATTGCTCTCTGTGTGCGTTGATTTGTTAATATATGTATGTATTTATGTGTGTCTCTGTCTCTCTTTGTGTGTGTATGTATGCGTGTGTGTGTGTGATTCATATAACATAGTAATACTCTATATGTAAATTCATTCATCTTGTTTCGCCTATTCAAAACTCTCATTGTCCTTGAGGGCTTGATTTTCATTTCATAAATAATAATCCTACTTGATGAAATTTTGTGTCGTAATTGTAAATTGTTAATAACTTTGCTGCATTTGAATCGCTTATATATCATTGCATATGTGTGTTTGTGTCTGTGTGTGTTTGTGTTTATGTCGTGTACATCAAGTTCCATGCATTATTTCATCATTACTAAAGCAAACTTAATACTGATTGACTCTGTTTTCTAATGCAATCGCCATGAGTCAGAGATCCAGTTCAAGTTAAATTTATTCCAGTTCTATCTATATTCATGTATATATAGATACATATGTAAATATTGTTTTTTAAAACAATCTTTTCAAGTTTTCTTTTTTTTTTTTTTATATAAAGTCCTAAATACTTAAAGGGCATCATATGCATCTACAATTCCAAAGTAATACAACGAGGCGATATACCCATTGACTAGTGTAGATCCAAACTCTTTTGGCATCTCTTTCTCTCTTTCTCTCTGTTCTTCTCTCTTTCTCGCCCTCTCTTTGTCTATCTTCTACATACTTTTATGCATTCACTTCTTAAGCACTTTTGATTTTTTCAATCCGACTGCAAACTGTGCACAAACTTCTAGTGTTGTGAAGTGCACCACGGCAGGGCCCGCAGCTGTTGCATGTGGCGTGTCCCTCGTGCATGCCCCACACACACACTTGCCACTCGCTATTATCTGCGCAATGTGCCCGAGGGCGGTCGCATTCAATTCAAATCGATTCAATTCAAATCGATTCCATTCGATTCGATTCGAAAAGTCTGCTGCCATCGCCGGGCAATTGCTAAAGCGTTTTGCGTAGTTGAACATTGATTTGAAATTTTTTTTTTCTGAATTCATATTTTAAAATACCTATATTGGTTTGTCATTTGTATTTTGATATTCGTAATTTCGCAACTATTGTTACTAGCACAAGCTCTACCTCTTCTCTCTATCAGCATACATATAAGAATATATGCATATTTTTTAATATATTTAGCTATCTATCGTTTCGAAGACACTTTTCTTTCAATTTGAATTTAAAAAGCTCCAACTACTCAAGTATTCAAGTATTTTCATAAATTATTTTGATTATTAGTTTCTTTGAACGAAAATCGTACTCGTAGCGTTACGAACAACACTTTGCATTTGGATGTAGCGTTTATTTTGATTGATTGATAATCTGATATGCCATGAAATTGATAAGAAAAATTCCCAAAAATACCACAAAAAAAACTTTATTTAGTATCCTGGCCCACTTGGTTAATACTATTTACTGATCTGCTTGCCTCTAGGCCAACGAGTCGCAGCTCCGGCACCGGCACACAAAATCAAAACGGCGGCGTCTCCTTGCCCGCTGGCATTGCGGACGATCAGTCCAAGGACTTTGATTTTGAAAAGACCGAAATGAAGTATGACTCCACGGGCATGTTCCATTGGAGTCCGGCGAAGAGCTTAGAAGACTGCATACTGGTAAATGCCTTGGGCCTGGGGGAAGCCGAATTCACTTATGAGCTATGATTTCACTATCCCAATTCCATCTCTGCAGGATCGCAATCAGGCGGCCATGACGGTCCTAAATGGCCACGTGGTCGTTTGCCTATTCGCCGATCCGGACTCACCGCTGATTGGGCTAAGGAATCTGGTAATGCCGTTGCGTGCATCCAATTTCCATTACCACGAGCTGAAGCACGTGGTGATCGTGGGCTCCGTTGACTACATACGGCGCGAGTGGAAAATGCTACAGAATCTGCCCAAGATTTCGGTGCTTAACGGATCGCCGCTGAGTCGTGCCGATCTGCGGGCGGTCAACGTCAACTTGTGTGATATGTGCTGCATATTGTCTGCAAAAGTTCCTAGTAACGACGATCCAACACTGGCCGACAAGGAGGCCATCCTGGCCTCGCTCAACATCAAGGCCATGACCTTTGACGACACGATTGGCGTGCTGAGCCAGCGCGGGCCGGAGTTCGACAATCTGAGCGCGACCGCTGGCAGCCCGATTGTGCTGCAGCGTCGCGGCTCAGTCTATGGCGCCAACGTGCCCATGATAACAGGTAAACTGCATCGCACTAGGTTGGCCGAGTTTACGAACGACCGAACGAAAACCGTCCTGCCTCAAGCGGTGTATGCGAGGCTGACCATCATTATTTGGGTTAGCTGGGAAATGGGGGTAGGACGGGGCCATGGTCAGCCTCCATACACTGGCGAGCTAATTTGAGAGAGGCACCTAACTAATGGACACAATGTTTTATTGTTGGTTGTCGTTTAAAGAACTGGTCAATGATAGTAACGTGCAGTTTCTCGATCAAGACGACGACGATGATCCAGATACAGAACTATATCTAACGCAGCCGTTCGCCTGCGGCACGGCGTTCGCTGTGAGTGTGTTAGACTCGCTGATGTCCACGGTAAAGTCAAGTCGCACAGACACACACCAAATGAGCAGCGACCCCTGAACACTATGCTTTCTTCTCTTCTCTCCCCTCTCTCTCTCTCTCTCTCTGTCTTCGGCTTTTTTATACTGCATCGCAGACATACTTTAATCAAAATGCCTTAACACTGATCCGATCGCTGATCACGGGCGGCGCCACACCCGAACTGGAGTTGATTCTGGCGGAGGGTGCCGGTTTGCGGGGCGGTTACAGTACCATCGACAGTCTAAGCAACCGCGACAGGTGAGTCTGTCTGCATAGACGAAATCATATTTGGCAACTAAATTCCCTTGGCTCAAACACAGATGTCGCGTGGGACAAATTTCGCTGTACGATGGGCCGTTGGCGCAGTTCGGCGAGTGTGGAAAGTATGGGGACTTGTTCGTTGCCGCCCTCAAGTCGTATGGGATGCTCTGCATAGGACTCTACCGGTTCAGGGACACTAGTTCTAGCTGTGATGCGAGCAGCAAGCGTTATGTAATAACCAACCCACCCGATGACTTCTCATTACTGCCAACAGATCAGGTGAGCTCAGTGGCCTTTCATATAGAAGAATTTATTTGAATACTTTATTCATATAGGTATTCGTTTTAATGCAATTCGATCCGGGTTTGGAGTACAAGCCGCCCGCAGTGCGTGCGCCCGCTGGCGGTCGCGGCACCAACACACAAGGTTCCGGGGTCGGTGGGGGCGGCTCCAACAAGGATGATAACTCTTGATTGTTACTGTGTAGCGCCTTAACTGATGGTCCTTATTCGTACATTTGAACGTTGGAGAAGTTAATTGTGAGCAGAGCAACGCATTTATGGCAAAAGTATTGGCACAACATTTGGCTCAAAGCGCGCCGCGCTCAGCGCATTCAGGTTTAGCGTTATAGGCAATAGGTATAATCTGTATAAGCTGTAACAACACAACAAACAAACATACACACACACTTACACACACTTACACCTGTGTATATTCTGTGTACCTATGAAAATTGTAACTAAATCAAAAGCTAACCCAATGGGCGTAAGTTAGGTAAAAATTTGAAATGCGTGCCATAAATGCGTTACTCTGTGCTTTTATATTTGCGGAGACACTGCTAAACGATCAAGGATAACGACATTGTCGCCACCAACAGAGTCTCTGCAAACATAAAAGCCACAAATGTATTAAAGAAAGAACAACATCTTTGATATCCATCGTTCAATTGTCAGCTGATTGCTTCCCACACCATTCCGTATGCCTTTTAGAACCTTGAAATTGACATTTTATCTATAATTTTGTATCTATATATGTATCCCAAACTATCCCCATTTATTGTATCTTATAATTATTCTTTCTTTTCGATTATTGTTAGTTCGTTTTGGTTTCTGTTTCATTTCTCTATATTATTATTTTGTAATCTTTCTCAATATGTTTTCAATAAACTGTCTCTGTATACAATCTTGAGTTTGAAGCAACAATCATAAGTTATTCTTAAACAATGGGTATGTACTAGTCATAGACATTATCATTGTGCCAATTAATTTCATTAGCCATTAATTTATCATTGTTATCATTAATTTATATCTTTAATTCACATCTTGAGTTCAGTTCATGGCGCTATCATCGCAATACAAATCAAATTATGCAATTCGATATGAAAATTCATCTCAATGGTGTGACGTAAGCAATTGGGAACCATTAGTGAGGTAAGCTACACATTAAACAAAGAAAACCAAGCAAAATATCAACTCAACAACTCTTTACTCTCAACATGGGAGAGAATATGTATGCCAAGTGCATCTCTTCTCAATCTGAGTACACCTGCGTGTGTTAATTTTGCATTCAGCTAATGCTTTGAGATAACAAATACTTACACACTCTAACTTAGTATAGGCAGGTCTAGGCAAAGCTATGTACAAATATGTGTCTAGGCAGCAACAAGAACTACGCTACAATCGATGCTAGACATGCACATACCAAAGAAAATGAAAATGAAAATGAATATGAAAATGAAAAGAAAAACAAAACGGAAGCTATGTATCTGAAAAATTGATAAAGATATTCGAGAAATCGCTTGACCGCTGAATGGAAATCCAAAAGTTGAGTCATTCAAGTTCAAAAACTGCATTTAGATGTTTCTGAGCATGCGCAAAAAAATATATAAATAAAAATAAATAAATAAAGATTTATATGAACGTATTATTACTAATTTAACTATAATGTTCGCAAAAAAAAAAAAAAAAAAAAAAAAAAAAAAAAAAACCAACACACAAAAAATTCCTTGCGATATTTAATTGAAATTGAAACAATTAAACCTTATAAACCACAATCACATGCATACATATTGAGTATCTAGGGAAGAAGAGGAAGAAATAGTATGGATAGACGAATATTCCAAGTTTTTTATATCAAAGCTTAGTCAACATACAAACAATGGTTGTTTCAGCAAAAATGATACTAATTGCATACTTAAAGTCAAGTCAAGTGAAGTCAAATTGTCATTAGAGTCAAAAAGACTCAAAGGCATGCCCAAGCCCATGCCACTAGCTATTTCAGTTTCATCAGATTTCAGCATATATGTACATACACACTGTATGTGTGTACAACTTTTTTAATAAGAAATATTTCCTAACTCTAATTCAAGGCCATTCCACGTAAACTTCTCTGTAATACATAAATCAGAATACTTAAACACACACACATACATATATATATATACACACATATATACCTAAATATATATATATTTAAACTAAGTAGCGCATTTCAAATCATAACTAAGCAGTAGCAACACATACATACATACATACAAACATATGAATGTAGCTGAAGATAGTATAGTACATGCGAGCATTGATAGATAGATAGATCTATAACTATCTAAACACATTTAGCGAGCAGTTGACAAAAAAGAAAAAAAAAACAAACAAACGTAGTTAGTAATATTTTTATTGTATGTATGATGTGTGCGGCGCTTTTTACGTGCGTGCCTATTGAGCAGCAGCTGTGGTGTTCTAAACAAATTTTTTTAGATAAATAAAACGAATGTTGACCGAAAGATGAACTTTTAGTCCTCGCTTTCCCCTTCACTTTCTCAACTTGTCTCAAGCTCTTCTTCTTTGGAATCGTTCACGCGCTTGCGCTTAAGCCGCTACTAAAACGCTCTGTGTGTGTTTCGTTTTCGTCTCATTTCTTTTGTAAATATTTGTAAATAGTTGACTAAATATGTAACTCGGATAATGTGTATAAAGATCGTTAAGCCATTTGATTTCGAAGCATTTGCATTGCATTAATGTTCAGAATAGTTTTCGGTACATGGATTTGTTCAAATATTAAACACTGCCAAAGCGTATAGAAATCACATTAAATGTACTTTAACTGAAAACACAAAATGCAGATAGTTCAGTTCAGTTCTCATTCGGAATCGTAATACGAATATTCAGATATGATTTTCAATAACATTTTGTGACATCAATTTAGCTTATTGAAATGTAAAAGTTAATCGAATTCGAGCTTTTAATAATATGTAACAAAAAAAAAAAAAAAAAAAAAAAAAACCAACAAAAAGATAAAAATAAAAATTATCATTAAGATTGATTTTCGGTTAGTTGTGTTTGTTTTGATAATATACACAGTAGCCTTAGGTTTAGACAACAAATGAAACGAAAAAATTGAACATTGTGAATATTAAGTATGCGCCTTCAAAGTAACATGTAACATATATACAGCATGTACGTATGTATGTATGTAGTGTGAAACAAAAAAAGAAAAAAATCCAAAAAGAAAAAAAATAGATAATATAATACGGCAGCAAGTTCATTTATTGCTAGGGCTATTATACATTAAAGTTAATATAGATGAGAAGAAAAAAGCATTTGCAATCCTTATAACAGGCATAGAGTAAACCCAAAAGTTAAACATAATTTTTAATGAATAACATAGTTTATACAATTTTTAGAATTATAAATACTCACACACACACATAGACACATATAGACACATAGACACACACGTACACACATACAACCACACGCACATATAGATGCATCACATCAGCGAAAAACCCATTGACAAGAACAACAAAACGAACTCTCGATGTTGTGAGACTTGATTAAATCATGTTTACGCTAAATAAAATTATAAAAAAAAAAATATATAAAATACAAAAATTTAAAAAAAAAATCAAATAATATACAGAATGCAAAACGAGAACTATCCACAAATAGCTTATAAAATATAAATCGAAAAAGCTTTTGAAAATCTGAACAAAGCTGCGTTCGGCATTTCTTATATACGAATTGCCTGATTTCATTTACATAAGTATCATGTCATTCTATTCATTAATCAATTTCATATTCGCTAAGATCGAAAGCGCCAACGTTTCAGCTTTGTTCCAAAAAAAAAAAAAATAAATAAAAATAAAAAAATTAAATAGGATATAATGATAATATTGTATATCGCCTAGAAATACTCAATGCCATAAAACTAGACACAAATGCAACGTTTTGTAGACAAATTTCATGAGTAAAATGTAAAAAACATACGTATATATGTATATATACCCATATATATGTATATATATGATATTCGTAAATGTAAAGCATTTTACAGTAGTTAGATACTTTGTATAGGAAACAACGTTTGCAGCTAAAAACAAATATTTAAAAAAAAAATAAAACAAAACACAAATGAAAATTTTAAATGTTTGGGTGACAAACAAATGTTATTTTGTAATTATTGCATACTTTAAAAACTAAAACAAAAAGAAAGCGTTATTAAATTTATAAATGCCGAAATTGAAAACAAAATTATTGTATAATTTCGTAGCACTTTCACAACTACCATATTTATTTATACATATGTATGCATAGAAGTATATGAATATTTATATTTATATATAAATATATATTTAGTCATATATTGCACATGCATACAAATTATTTTAGTACTATGTGCATTAAAAATGTATAAATAATTAAAAACAAAAAGACAAAGTAAAAACTAACATTAAAAATAACATCAAATAGTCAACATAACTGTAATTAAGCTTTTTAGTTTTTACCCGCGATTTATAAAATATATTTACAAGTAAAATTCTAAAAATTTGTCATAAGATTAAAGATAAAAAAAAAAAATAAATAAAATGCTGATTAACAAATTTATTTACATAAAACTAATAGATCAAGATCGAGATCAGCGACCGCTTGATAAAAAAAAAACACATTGTTTTTGTTTAACAGAAAAACTAAAATTTTTGAAAAAAAAAAAAAACAAATTTTAAATAATATTAATATAAAATAACAACAAAAAGTAAAAAGAACCCCTTAAAATTCGCATTTTAAACAATTGTCTATGAAAAATAATATAAAATAATTAATACAATGCAAGTAAAGAGTAACAGATAACTGTAATTAAATAAACGCTATAATAATAATATTATGTTGTTAATGTTTAAAAAAAAACCTTGTTAAAATAATATTTCAAAATAAAAAAAAAAAAATAAAAAATAAAAAATACGAATACAAAATTTCAATCAACGGGCAGCGCCCAGACTTTTCCTTGTTAAAAGTGAAATCTTGAGCTAGGGCATGGCCAACGGCTCCAACTGCCCAAAAAGTGACCCACATTTGGCGGCCCGGGCCGACAGAAATTCCATCGCCCAATTGCGTTTAGAAATTTGAGTTGCGCCTCGCATAAAACGCACCCAATTACCAAGTCCAGTTGAACGCAAGCGTTTCATAAGCTTTTTTATAACGCCCTGCCCTATACATTAGTATTGTATAATCAGAGATCTATAGCTGATTTACATACAGTATATGTGTACCATATGTAGTTAACTAATGAAGTCGCACACGCATCAATACAAATGGCCATTAAACAACTAGCATATGTGGTAAATATTTAGTATGTTCCACATATATTGAAGATATTCATTTGTAGAGTTACACAAGCATAAATCATAATAAAATAATGAAACATATTTTTAATATCAATGAGGAGACTTTRTTAGATAGAAAGTCTTATGGCATTAATATTTTTTACATTCATTACAATCTTAACCATTATTAATTGTTTTTGAAGACTTATGGATCAATGACTGGGCTCCTATAAATCCATTTAAATAATTATTATCATTAATTTATTAATTATTTATTTTTTATCCATACTACCATATAAAACAATACTCAGGGGCAACTCTCAGCTGTTAAATGTGTTTTAAATATATCTAAAACACTTTATATACATTTATTCTTACACTTATATATAATAATAGATCTTTTCAATAGTAATAAATAAAATATCTACGTTTATTTTATGAGTCTGTCATGGCTTTAGTTCTATTTAATAATAAGCTAAAAGCTAAATATGATTTATTTTATTTACTTTCAATAAGCTCAAAGCAAAAATTGTTTTTGTTTTGAGTAAGAAGAAAGCCAGTTAACTGACTGAATGGAAGATTATGGGCGCTTAATTGGTTGCACACAAATCTTTATGCTCTAATAAGTGCTATTAATATTGTCAGCTAATAAGATCATAGTCAGTTGATTACTAACTGTACTACAATATATGTATACAATAAAAGTAGTCTAACACACTTGCCAGAACCAGTGCGCGTACCACTGCCAAGCGCCAAGCGCCAAGCGCCAAGCGAAGCTCATAAAAAAGACAAACTGATTCCGGTTAACTACTCTTGATAGCAAACATCTTGTTTAGCTTAGGCTTCAGCTTCAGCAACTTCAAAGGTTTTGCTTTGTTCCTGCGCCAGAAAGCCACAGGCGCCACTGCGAAAAGAGCTCAGCTCGATATCATGAGCGCCTGGTGTGAATTGCTTTTTAAGGCATTGGATGAGTGAATATTAGCAAGACAAGTTCGTTGCCCAAGTCTTTTGTTTGCCCAGGCCGAGCTGGCAGCTGGCCAAGAACTGGCAAACACTTTCGTTTAAGCTGTGCGTGTATGTCTGCCAGCCGCAGCAGCAGAAGGAGAAGGGGAAGCAGACAGCGAAGGAGAAGTCAAGTAAGAAGAAGAAGAAGACAGTGCTCATGCCGGCAAATCTCATGTAGTTGTGGTCGCGTGCTAAGTCTCACCTGAGCACTGAACAAGTTTTCGAATCGAGTCGGCCAGCGCAGACGAAGAAAAGCCGACCACTTTCTTTGCGGTTTCATTGGCTTCCAGTCAGCGATGAGACGTGTACTTCCAGTGGCTGACAAAAGTAGCTATCACAGTCGGTTCGAGTGGCGGCGCTCAGCTCAGTTGTTAGCGCGACCTGAACAGGTGCAGACTTGCAGACTTTGCAGCTCCGGTTAGCATTTTGTGTGTTGTTTCGTATTATATTTTTCGTCGTGCTAAAGGAAAGCGCCGCGGCGCACGTGGACATGAAGTTAATTGATGTTATTATATATTTAATAGCTATTTTAATCTTCATCTATTTGCTGTTGGAGTAAACCACATTCACTCGCCACTCACTTACGCAGCTGCAAGCCAAAGCTTTCCTTACTCTTCATCTTCTTCTTCTTCTTCACGCTCCACAAACTCTTCATCTGCAAGGCAACTACAATCGCTGCCAATATGAAGGTAAGTAGAATCTCACGCTGATTTTATGAGCTTCAATTATCGATCATCAAATGATGGGAAATGCATTTTATGCAAATACACAATCTCTATGGACGCCCCAGGCTCAGTCGGGCTGAGTTCGGGTTTCTTTCTGAAAACTTCACCAAAAGCCAAAGACAATGGCGGCATTCAATTTTGTTGTTTTTGCAATATTTTCAATTGAATTGCAATTGATGCGCCGCTGTGGCTCGTGTTTTGAATACTTGTTAAATTGCGATTGGCGGGCACTTTCATTTGCGGTGCAGTAGCTGCAGCTGCAATTACAATTGCAAGAGCAATGCCTATGGCAATGGCAATGCCAATGGCAATTGAGAGCACTTGATGCGTCAAGTTTTCGCTGCAGGCAACCAAACAATGGGCCGGGCCGTTCGCTACACTTGCCTGGCTATTGCGATTGCCGTTGACTCTGGCTCTGCCTCTGCCTCTGCCGCTGCCTCTGCCTCAATGTGCAACGCAGTGAAGAAGATGAAACAGTTAGCTTAATGCTAAATAAAAGTTGACTTTCAGGTTGGCCAAATGCGTTGCGAATTGGGTTAGCTTGCGGCTGTTTCAATGCTGTCGCCTAATTCGCTGTTTCAATTGTGATTTGTGAGCTGTGAGCGTGGTCAGTCCGAGTTTAGTACCGTAGATCCTATTTCCATAACGGAAAACAATACAATATTACAATTCGTGCGTACCTTGGCTTTCATGCAACGGACCCCAGGTTCATTCACCAGTCAGTGCACCCGCTGCGGCCGTCGACCATTATTATTATGCAGATTTTCTTACAGGCGACAAAGCAGTATCAAATTGCTAACCGCTCGATAAACAGGCAGGCAGCAATTTGGTCTCAATTACGTCTGCCACTTTGATTAGGCAAACGCAGCACGTAATCAATAACCATAGTGCAGCGCTGCGCTGTGCACTGCGCGCTGACAGTTTCACCTGTAAGCAGCGCTTGATTGACTGGCCGCACTAACGGTAAAACATTGTCATTGCCAGTGTCGCGCGGACAAGTGAAATTTGTTGTTGCTGTAACAATTACACTGGCAAATTGTTGACTTCCACTTCACTCGTGGCCCGGCCATGTTTGTAGCAGAACCAAATCAATTTGGTATTTCACTTTCATTGGCCCATAGTCTTAATTAGCCGCGACCGCTGCACGCCCGCCCGTGCCCACAGTAATGGCTTACATGCTTACACGTACATGTACACATGCATGTGTGTGTGTGTGTGTGTGTGTGTGTATGTAAATGCTTAAAGGTTTATTATGGCCTTATGCCTTAGTGGCCAGCGGCAGGCGACGTGATAAAATTTTAGAAAACCGCCAATTTATACAAATTAAGGCCATTATTTTCGGTTCTCCGTCCGTCCCCAGACTTGCCTCCCTTTGCCCCCAGTTTGTCCGTGCAGCTGCAGAGCTGATAGAGCTTAGAAAGTTGTACATATACATGCAAACATAAATATATATCTTTGTTAAGTACTTACCTGCAGAAGAGATAATTAAATTTCGTTTAATGGATTTTCGTGTTAATTTGTTACGTTTTTACTGCTTTAGCATTTCGTACTCTTGACGCTGCTGTGCGGCCTGGTCAGCTGTGATCTGTCTGCCGTCAAGCGTCCGTTGGTCTTCAGCAACGGCAACTGGCCTCCCAAGAGCGCCAACCAGCTGTCTCGCCATCCAGCTGCCTCAGCCAACGGGAAGCAGCGCACCTTGGTCGTTCAGATTCGCAGTGATCAGCCAGTGCCATTGGTGTTGAAGGGTCGTCCCGGCGCCCACACACACGCCCATCAGCACCTCGGCTCACACTCGCACCTGCACTCTCACGCTCACCTGCATGGCCACGCCCACTCTCACGCACACACACACCTGTTGCATGGAGCCGCGCCTCAGCACTTGCGTGGCGTTCGCCCACTGAAGCTCAGCGCTCCAGTCTACCTGAAGCCGGCAGGCAGTCTGCGCAAACCGTTGAAGATCAAGTTGAGCAACTCGAAGCCGCACTCGAAGCCCACCTTCGGATACGAGAAGCCCTTCAAGTACGAGAAGCCCACTGCGGTCGCCTATAGCGAACTGCAGAACTTGCCGGTAAGTACCATAAAAAGTGGACAGGGAACTCGGAGCACGCACACACACGCGCACACCTAGAGAGATATCCTTATACACATACATACATATACCCACAGCTGGACACACACAACAACTACAACACCGAGCACTTTGCACCAATTTACACGGTACCCGCACCCAATCTGGCCCAGCACCACGATCACGACAATCAGATTGACGACGGCCTAAACACTGCATACCTGCCCCCACAACAGCAACAACAACCACAGTTGAGCACTCAACGTCCCCAGAGCAGCTATTACAGCGTGCATGAGGACGAGACAAATGATAAAACGATTCGTGATCCCATTTCGGGTTCGCAGAAACTCTTTGCCCCAGATCCAGACCCATCTTTGCCCACCACTAAGGTGAAGATCGCCACGGAGAGCTTTAACACGCCGAGCAACAACCAGCCCCTGCCGTCGGATGTGCAAAGCAACCATCTGCCCGCGCAGCCATTGGTCCAGATTGTGGGTGCTCAGGCAGCAGCACAGACAGTGCCCATCTATCCAATCCAGTTCACGCAGCAGCAGACGACACAGCCCTTCATCGCCGCAGCCCTGCCTGCCGCCCAAATACCCATCTACAATCCTACCTATCTGGTCACCCAGTCCAATCAGCTTTACAGCCAGCACAAGCAGCAGCTCTTCAAGCCCAGCGTGGAGCACGTCGTTGAGACCGGCTATGTCAACGCCGACCTGACGCAAGAGGTGGCCAGCAACGGGCAAATTCTGCAGGCCGCCAAGGATACGCAACACAATATCCATCCAGTGCTGGACTCGGCTCCACAATATGCCGCATTAATCGCTGCTCCTGCACTGAGCGAGCCCGCAGAGCCTGTGTATGATACGGCGCCCTTCCACTTGACCAATGTCGCCGCATCAGTGAGCTCCACAGCACCCGAGGGCGGATTTGTGGTGTCCAACTATTATGGAAATTCGCACGACTCTTCGCAGCTGCTGCAAGCTTATGCCGAGGAAGAAGCCCGACGGCAGCAACTGGAAACTGAGCAGGCTGCACTTGAGCTTCAAAAACAACAGCAGCATCAGCTGCAATTGGAAGAGCTGCATGCTCAGGCACAGGCTCATGCACAGCTGCAGCAGCAATACCAACAAGAACTGCAGCAGCAACAACAACAGCAATATCAACACGAGTTGCAGTTGGAAGAGCTGAAGGCTCAGGCACATGAGCAACACTTGCAGCAGCAGCAACATCAGCAACAACTTCAAATTCACCAACTGCAACAGCAGCATCAGCAGCAACAGTTACAGCTGCAACAGCAACAGCAGCAACAGCTGCAGCAGCGTCAACCCACAGATCCGGCGGCTGCTGCTTTCGAGGAGCATCAGCGTTTGGTACAGCAGCAACTGGGCAGCACTACACCTTTGCGTATTTTTGTTCCAGATGAAGAAACACCGGAGACGGTAAGCAAGCAAAATCATTTTGAATACGTACATCCTTATAATTATTAATTTAATTCGTCTAAACTACAGCAGCGTCTACAAAAACGCTCGGATAATCTCAAGAAGGGCTCATTTGAAGATGTCTCCACGCTGCAGTCGAATGATGCATCAAAGGATTTGTATCCCGTTTCAACTTCTGTGGAAGTGTCAGGCAGTCAAACAGATGCTGACAACGAATAGGAATATATCATTGTTATGGACATAGTTATTAGCGGACTTTAAATATTTATTTTACAACACACATTTGTAAATGTAATCATATAGAAAGAGTCGATAGTGTAATTAATAAATGTATTAATGTTTAAAAAAAAAACCGCGAGAATTTTAAAATGAAACACAAATTTAAATACAAATATTAATATGTACCTAGCATATGGGCGCGCTCTATCAATACAGCCTCAGTTTGAATTTTACCACACGCGCGCTTTATTAAATAGGCCACACTGTTAAGTATCGATAAATAACCAATATTCAGACCATGTGCTCAGCTATCGATGGTAAGCAATCATGTGAAGCAAGTTGGCAGCCTTTATGGTAAAATAGAAGCTAAACAGAAAAGTGTGCGCTAAGCACAAATTAAATAAATTGTCATAAAAAGACAAATATAATAAATATGATAATACCAATTCGGTGTTTTACCTGTGGCAAGGTTATTGGTAACAAATGGGAATCTTACCTAGGCTTGCTACAGGCTGAGTATACGGAAGGGTAAGATTCGACGCTCCGCAAGCAAAGCAATTTCATCTGCATTTCATATTCTTAGTACTTTAACTGTATATAATTATTCTTTAGTGACGCATTGGATGCTTTAGGATTAAAGCGCTATTGTTGCCGTCGAATGCTGCTTGGCCATGTGGATCTCATTGAGAAGCTACTCAACTATGCACCTCTCGAAAAGTAACAAATGGATGCTACACTTGGGACAGTTGTGATTATACGGAACTTAAACGACAAACTTTATATTTTATTGTAAAAATAAATTAAAGCTCAATTTAAGAAAGAACAGTCGTTTCAAGAACTACATTTTGTCCATGAACCATGGCTGCCCGTTGTTTTCACGGCGTTTCGTGAGGATCTCACAACCATTGTTAGTGACTAACAGAGTTTGTTCGAATTGTGCCGAGTAGAGGCCGTCCCCGGTGACGGCAGTCCAGTCATCTGGCCAGGATTCTGCCTTCTGAACACCCTCGGAAATCATTGGCTCAATTGTGAAGCAGTGCCCAGCGGCCATCACGCCAACGGCAGAGTTCTCTGTGGAATGGGCAAGACATGAGTTCGGTATCCAAGGGAAAAAGGAAGACTCACTTACTAGCATAGTGTGGCACATTGGGTGCGGTGTGGAAAACGCGATGAATACCGTGACCGCAATAGCTGCGAACGACGCTGAAGCCATGAGGCGCCACGTACTTCTGGATGACATTACCTATCTCTCGGTACTTAACGCCAGGACGCACCAGTTCAATAGCTTTGCACAACGATTCGTATGTAATGCGCACTAGTTTCTTGTGCTTCTCTGAGACGTCGCCAACGAAAAAAGTTTCGTTGAGATCACCATGAAAGCCGTGATGATAGACAGTCACATCGATGTTGCATATGTCGCCATTCTCCAGGGGACGTAAGTCAGGTATGCCGTGGCAAATGACCTCGTTAACGCTCGTGCAGCATGACTTGGGGAAGTTGTAGTAGTTGAGCGGGGATGGATAGCAGTCGCGCTCGATGGCTGCCTCGTGCACCAAGCGATCTAGTTCATCGGTTGTGATGCCTACTTCAATGGCTTTGGCGCCCTCATCTAGGCACTCACGGCCCAGCCTTCCAGCCACTCGCATTGCCTCAATTTCGTCATCGTCGAGCACTTTGATTGTTGTTCCACGCAGAGCTTCTTCCGACAAAGATCGTCCAGCAGGATGATCTGCGTAATCTGGACGCTTGATTGCCTCTGGAACGGCACGTTTGGGGGTCTGCGGAAACGGACGCAGTTTGCCGGTGAACCGAAAGTGCGGCCATGGATTGTAAACACCATCATCAACGACAGGCTTCTGACCACCGGCTAATTTGAACCAAAACATATCCGATTAATATACATTTATTATTTAACATATATTTATATTTATTTAAAATTTATGACGAAGTGAACCTACCAGCTAATGCATGGATCACCTTGTGCTCTTTCCAGAAGCCTTTAAAGCATGCCTGCGAGCAGAAAAATGAGCCTTTGATTCCCAATTTAATGCAAGTGGGGCACTGAAGCGTCGCCTCATTGTTACAGTTCGTTGTTTCGCAACTTTGCGTCATTACAGCGTGTAAAAATGTCCTCTTAAAAACTGTTCCAAAATTAGCACTTCGACGGACACAATAACCACATGCAACGCCGTTATTTTTTTCTGATTTTCATTATCGATATATTTACAATCGATGGTTTAGTATATCACCATGTCGTAGAATAGAAATTATCGACGTTGTTGATTTTTTTCAAATTGTTTAGTATTAAATTTTAATAAAATTATATTTTATTATTAAAGAAATGAAGGCATGTGTGTGTGAAACTCGATATTCTATTATATTTTTATTTACATTTCCAAAACCTACATAATATATTTGTCTGGCACAATGAAATCTATGAATTCCTGATGTGATATAAACAATTGTTACTTTAAGGAAGTTTCTGCACAAGAAGTTTCTTTCAATTAAAATTTCATTAATCATTTAAAAATTTCGGTTTAATCAAAAGTTATTTCGATTCAATTCTAGTTTCTTGAATATTTTTATGAAATAATAATATTAAATAGTGAATAATAGTTTATAGTTAATTTATGAGAAATAATGCTTAGTTTCTAAGAGATATAACAACCTGACAATGATATGAATTTGAATTTTCGTTATACGTTGTACATTTTCAAAAGCAGCTGTTAGCAATTGTCTAGGCACATGCGCTTTATCCCTTTCCTTCTATCTCCCTCTCTTTCTGCCTCGCTCTCTGCTAGGCACAGCTGTGCAGCAATTGAAGCGTTGGCTCTGTTTATGTTTGAATCTCTCCAATCAAAGCGCGAGAACCTTTCGTCGTGAACGGACGTGTATTCCATTGTTGCGGCTAAATAACGCGAACGAAAGAATAATAGCAACAAACTTGTTTGATCTGAAGCAGAATTAGTGTTCGCATAAAGTCCAAAAGGATTTGGAGTGTGTGTGGTGCCAGGAGTGAATAGAATCTAGTGCACTAATAAGTAATATTAATATTAWTAATAATAATACAAACACATATTTATATAAACATCATTTGAATTGCCTGCTACAGGTGGAACMTCTGCCATACTGTTGCTGTGTAGTCGAGGATATTTCAATTCAATTCAAAGTTCGTAATTTCGAGAAGCGAATATGAAATCATAAGTAAAAGTAAATCATGGGTAATTTACCTGCACATGTTGAGTTCATATAATTCCTAGTCGCTAATCTATTATATTAGACAGTCCGTCGGTCGGGCATTGAAATGAATGGATCAGTTTTGTCGCGATCTTTGCACTCGCCGTTCGATCGCGTTCTATGCGTTTTCCTTATCAGCAGCGGCTGCTGTTGTTGGCCCCGCGTTTCGTTTTTGCGTTCACTTTGAGCAGACGACGACAAACACGCCGCAGTTACTGTTGATGCTGCTGTTGCTGTTGCTGTTGCTGTTGCCGTTGCCGTTGCGGCAGAGAAGAGGCAACGGCATCAAATTGCTATAAATAACAAACGGCACGCGGCTGCGTCCGTGTGTGCACTGTACGTTGCTTGCCACACCTCCGCCTCACCACCTCTACGCCTTATTGACCCCCCTCAACTAAAATCAGCAGCAGCCGGCTCTTCGCACGATGGGTGTTTGATTCCACTACCTATCGCTAACTGAGTCGTTGTCAGTTTTCCGCTTTTCATTAAACAAAACTGAAACAACAACAAAACCAAGCGAAACGCAAATCGTCAATTGTCAATGGTCTTCATTCGGAAGGCCGCCTGCGTAATTAAAATAGAATCTGTTTTCCCTGAATGTGTGTGTGGGAGCTTATGTGTGGGTGTGTGTGTGTGTCTGTGTGACTATATACTAAAGTAAGACATTACTTTATTGTGTTTTGTTCAGGCTATTGCAATACGGAACAACGTCAAAAGTCAAGGTACCGCTGCCGTTGCCGTTGGCGCTGCTGCTGCTGCCGCTACAAGCAGCGCTGCAACGCTCGCAGCAGCATCGGCCGAGACAGCAATGATCTTGCATTGCTGTTGTTGCTTTGAACTCGATGGCAGACAAAGATTGAGCAAAGCAGGATCGCACAATGTTCTTTGCTGTTATTCTTGTTATTGTTGAACGACTCTTCATTCTTTTCTTTTTTTTGGACAACGATCATCGGCGTCTGCCCAGCGGCTATACGAGCCGATCCTCGCAGAAATTAAAGGTAGAGAGCAGAGAAGGCAAAAAACAGAAAACAACAAAATCTTTAAGACCGGCAGCGAACACGCATTAGAGTTAATTGGGCTCCGTCTGCGGCAGTGGCTCCAGTCCAGGTGCCTTTGATACGCAATGCTAAGGCATTAGCAGAATGTTGCCACAACATGTGTGTGCGCGTGTGAGTATGTATGCACATACACATATGGACATACATACAAAGACATATTTGTTTGTATGCACACATGTGTGGTGCGCATTTGTACGCATTTGCCTGATGCTTGTGTCAGTTAGATGAAAATTTATGCGTCAAAGCAAACAAAAAAAGAAAAACAAAAAAAAAAAAACAGAAAAAAAATGAAAAAATTGAACGAATATGAAATTCAAAGTGTTGTCCCGCTCAGCAGAGTCTCGTTCAGTTGCCGCGGCATTTTCCAGCGCTTCAGCACTTCCGCTCTGCCAGAAAATCAACTTCCGCTGGCAAACAATTGTCAGCAGGGGGCGGTGGCCCAAGGCGTCAAGAGTGGAGCGCGGAGCGAGGGGCGCATGGGCTTGGGTCTCCGCTGACAATGCCAGCGGCGTTGCTTTACGTAGCAAACGCAGCACAAGAGACGCATATTGATATTGTTGCCAGGATTCTTACGCTTCACTGCACTCACACACTTACCCACCCACACACACACACACGCACACACACATACATACATACATTCAGTCATATAAATTTAAGCTGCTGCAAGCGCATTTCACTTTTGCTTCACTGCTCCTGTTGGCTGTTTTGTCCCTTATCCTTTGGCCCGGCAAACATTTTGTGGCATCTTCGCCTGCTTATTGCCAGCCAACGAACGCCATTAAGCGTTTCATGTTACCTCCTTTCGCATTACAAAATTGTCCGCGTATGCATTTCCCAACAATTCTTTCCATTTCTGCGACATTTCATTTCATTCCATATTTCTGCCAGCTTTTTCGCTTTTGAATAGAACACAACTTTGCTTCCTCTTGGTAATACCCTTGGAGAGAGCATTAAGAATTTGCCATGGCGAGTGTATTCGTGTGTACAGAAGGAGATCTGATCAAAGTTACGTTTCCTTTCCTTCACTTATTTTACTTTTGATCAAGATATTTAACTACTTACATTATGCTCTTTGTATTCTGTTCACATCTGATTATGGAAAAAATATTCTTGCTTTGATTTAAGTATTGCTTAAAATACTTATTTCTTTAGGTATTATATCTATTGATATTAAAATCATGTATATATTCATTTCTAATTATGAACAATTCTAAAAATAAATTGTGACTAGAATATAATTATTGCTTTACATATATACTTTTTTGCTTAGCTATTATATCTATTGATAATGTTATCACTCTCTTTGTATTCTATTTATTTAGCTTTCTAGAAAGTTCTAAAAATAAAACCCTACTCTAACCTATGTCTTATTTTAAGGACATATTTGTTTAACTATTATATCGTGCCCTTTTTGTCTTCCATTTATTTTTTATTCTAGACAATTCCATAAAAAAATCTCATTGCTTTAGAAGCGTCTTTGTTTTCCTATACATTTCCTTAAGGGTATTCCGTCTGCAGCGAATTATTATTAAATTTTGGGAGCCTTGCACGCATTTCTACTTCAGTTGCGAAGGGGCGCGTGCTTAAAACGTTTTTATTTTTTCTGGTTTCTGGTTTGGGTTTTTCTTTCCACTCCAGCCGAGCTTTGATATGTTGAAATTTTCATTTTTAGATACTTTCATTTTGTTGATTTGCCATCGCAGCAAATATACAAAAATTAAAAGCAAATTATGTGCCGCAGGTGCCGGAGGCAGCGGGGAGCAGCGGACTTGTGGTGACTCTAATCCACATCAAATCGGATATCTGCGTGCGCCTGGGCAGTCCGAAACGCACAAAATCTCTTATCTGCCAAGTATTTGGAGCAAGCGATTCAAGTTATTTTATGAATATTTGTATAGGCTCTCGAATTTGCATGGTAAGCCATGTCGGGGCGGCTGAATGCTGAGTGTTGAGTGTCGCGCGTGGGCGGTCTATCAAGGCACTGCTAACGGTATATATATCTATATATGTACATATATGTATATATATTGCAAGGCTTCGCCCACCCCACTCTGGACTTATTTTCCTTCGTATCTCACTTCATCTCGTTTGCCGCACTACACCTCTTCTTGACATAAATATTTTGTTATCAACGTCGTTCTTGTTGCTGCTATGAAGCAAAGTTAATGATATGTCGCAACTGGGTGAGCATAGGTGTCTGGCTGTGTGTCTGGCTGTGTGTGTGTACGTGAGTGTGTGTCGGTATGTCTGGAGACAAGCGTCCTCAGTAAGGATCTATGTGTGTATCTGAGTCCGTGCTCTGCATCAGCTTTATGCGAAATTAATTGTAATTTAAGTACGTTAAATTTCTGGCTTCTAAGTAGAAATAATGCAATCTTATTCGCTGTAGCCTCTTCTCAGCGCCAGCAGGAGTGGCCACAGTACTACTTAAGCGTACATTCATTTGCGTATTCAAGCATGTTCGACGCCATTCAAGTATGCACAAAACAAGCCCCAATAAATCTATTGAAGATGAAATGCGTAATGATTATTCATGCGGAACTCAATGTTAAAAGCTTTGTTTAACTTAATGAACTTTGAGCTCTCTGCTCCTTGAGCTTCGGTTATGTCGGATTGACTTAATTCATGCGTTCGTTCACTTGCAGGATACATGAAAAAAGCATTTACATGCCAAAAGTTAAGACTCCAAGCCCTCCACAGCCACAGCTTTTGTGCTGTGCTCTTTCTTTGCTCATCTTTTGGGCTCGTTCAAATTTGTACAGCATTCAGAGGGCCGAGGGTCGAGGACAGAGAGCCGAGGACCAAGGACAGAGAACCGACGACCGCCTGGCATTCAGTTTTATTTGCCAAATTAAAAGGATTTCATTTGCTTTTCATATTTGCATTGGTTTTTATCGCCGCTGCCAGACAACTGGCTTTGACCCAACGCCGATTTTCCCACACAATCACCATAAAACCGAATCTCGGCGCCATATTTTCTGCCCTCGTACTGGCTGCTGCCTTCCTCTTTACTTTTTTTTATGTTGTGGCACAGTCGTTGGCAATTGTTATTTATGGCCAAAGGAAGGAAAAAGTAGCCGTAGCAGCTGACAAGGCGAGCAGGCAAGGCTTCAACCTCAGCCTCCACCGCCCCAGCCCGCAGCGGTGTAGTGTGGCGTATGCCCAGGTCGATCATCATTTCTGTTGTTAGTATTAATTATTTGCTAGCCTCAGTGCTGGCCCTCAAATTGCATAATTTAGGTCTTAAACAGCCGTTTGACCATTGCTCATGTTCTATATGCGGCTTTCCCACATCTCTGTACATATTTGCCGTCATGGGCACGGGTTCCGTTACACAGAGTGGAGCACAGGATAGCAGCAGGAGCAGGTGCAGGAGCACGAGTAACGGCAGCAGCCTATCTGTCTGCGGTGTATTTCATGGTTGAGCTTTATTTACATTCATATGGCTACAGCCGAAGCGGCCAAGACCAGTCGGCCCGACCAGGACACAAGCAGCTCGGAGCATTTTGGTTACAGTTGCAACCACCTGGGCATGTTGTTGGCTGAGGCCACAGGTGCTAGCTGGGCAAGCTTAATTATTTGCAGTTGGCTGTGGCCCAGTGTTGGCTCTGGACCTTTGCTCCCTTTCAGTGTGCGTTCGTTTTGTCTGTTGGTTTGTTCACCTCACTGCCTGTTTATTTGGCAACCCGTTTGCATTCTGCGTTTGTACAGCATTTAAGTCGCATAGAAGTCGGTCCGGCAGTTCATCAGTGAATAGGAGAATGCCCCTTCACTCCCTCCTTCACTACCTACATATGTGTGCATTCGCCTGTATCTCTGTTAATTTAAATTTACGGCTTTTTATTACGCCAATTTTCAGTGCTGTCCGCCCGCGCTTCCCATTCACTGCGCTCCTGTTGATATGCAATATTTTTAATCAGCCACGCAAGCAAACATTCAGCCCGACGCGACGTGAATTAAAACTATATATATATAAAGAACTTTTCATTTTGTGTCTGTGTATATGCAGCCCAAATTGCAAACAAAATCTGAATCCGCACTCGTTTTTACTCGCATGCATATTAAATGTCTGGGGGAGATTAATTTTTTTCCATGCAATTATATTATTTACGTAAGCCCTTAATTCTCATATTTCAAAGTAAGTTTAAGCTACCTCTGTTATTGGTATAGTAACAAATCAACAAGCCTTTCAAAAGTGCCTTAAGTCTTCCTGCGTGTGCTACCTCGCCTCGGATTTGCCAGGTCAACGCTTAAGCCACAAAGGCTTTGGGATCAAGTTGAAGCAGGGCACACGTATGGCAGCATCGGTAGAGAACATTGTTTAAGTCTCAGCTTAATATGCACTTTTAGTAAAGTAGAAAACTAAAGAAAAGTTGACTGCAGAAATGTCAGGTAATCTGGGGAAAATATTTAACTAAAATTATAACTATTTTCAAAATACCTAAAAAGAATTAATGGTTAGAGAAGGAAATTGGTGTTGGGTGTAATTATTACAGAAAAAGTAGAAGGGAATGTTTGATCGGCTTTAAGCAAAGACCTGGCCCGGGTGGTGTAAGAGCATTTTCCTAGTTCTAGTTAGATGCTGTTCGATCTTTTGGCTGTAGTATCGGGTTAGAATCCAGGTGTTTTTGAATACCTCTTTGAATCCCTTAATTTTTTTATTCTTCTTCAATTCTAACCATCCGTTCATTAGTTTCACATATCACAAAGAACCTCAGTGGTTGTCATTCCGTACACTTGGATACCAAAGTAACGGAGCTATGAAATTCTTGTTGATTCTGACCTTGTCTAGAGATCGCTTGTGTCGTTATAGCATTTATGCTATTACTTTGACGAAGATCTTTGAAGTTAAGAGTCATAATCTGACTCACATTATAATACACATCGAATCTTTAAATACTCCATACGGAATTTGTTACAAAAATTATAACTTTTACGTTTGGTTTGAGGACTACTCAATATGTTCCGTCCAAGCCCATTTTATAATGTTGGTAATTTATGATCAAAATGTCGTTTGTTGCAAAAGACCTACCAAATAAGGAAGGTCAATTCCAAATTCCAAACTCAGCAGACGAAGCTAATGGATATTTTATTATATCAATAACTAAAATTGAAATATGACTGTGGAGTGAAAGATTAGAACTTTCAGTGAGCAGCTATCTTAGGTACTTTATTTTTCCCCTTCATCAAAAACGTTCAAAAATTGTAAACAAAACTAGTAGCTTTTCAAGTACCCTATGTACACAGATACATGCATATATATATATACACATAAGCATATATATATATGAGGCTGTTTGTTATGGATCTTCGCACAATTTGACACAGGTGCTTAAGTATTTACTTCTCTAGGCATCATATCACAGTAATCAATTATAATAAATCAAGTGTATATATGTATGTATATAATAATGACATCCTTTGGCAGCTATGTACACAGTTAGCTACTTGAAATGTCAACTGTCACGGCGGCAAGACAAATCAAAGTGCGCGGCCTCTTGGAGGAACTTTTTAGGAACAGGCTCGTGTCAAGATTTGCGCTTGTAAACACTAAAAATGTCAGAGGCGAGGCGAAGCGGGGGCAATATGCTATTGTGCCGACTACCAGCTTAGCCTAGAACGTTGTCATTGTCAGTTCGTGTAGTTTGAAAGTGGCGCCTGACACTTGACAAGTCTGATTGATGGCGTGACTGTGAGTGAGCAGCAGGATGTTGGCGGAATCGTGAAATTGCTGAAGCTTCGTTCGTCTTGGACCCTCATCTCATTTAATTAAACTAAATGCGAACGCTTCGCTTCATTCAGAATCACCCCACACAATTGCCCAATATCGTTTATGCACGCCAAGCAGAAATGAAGAAAGGCTCCTTGGCAGACTCAAGTTTCATAATTCGCTAAGGAAACAAATACAACAAAGAATATTACCACATAATACTTGAGAGAGATATTGAATAAATAAATATGTATTTATAAATATAGATGATAAACATTAGCTACCTCTGAAAATTGTTGAACATAGTTGACCAATTCATATAAGTATAGCTTTGTCATGGAAGCAAAATGATATATGTGTTTACAGTAGAGTTTCTATATTTCATTTGGCTTTATGATTTACTAAGAATTTCATTTTCCTAGATAATGTTTTGGAGTAACACAGACTTTACATTTTTCGATATTAGGGTGTTCAACTTAGCAGCTTTGCATAATATTCTTCCTAATGTTTAATTTATGTGATTGTTGATTGTTATTTCAATTCCTTTCCATAAATTCAATCCAACTCCTTTAAGAAACGACAATTGCTTAGGCAGTTTTTAAAATGACTTAAAATGAAAGAGTTTACCGGGACTCGAATGTATTTATACATATATAAGTCTCTTTGCTCTATATAATTATATAAATAAAAGTTAGCCTTATAATTAAAATATTGACTACTTTATAAGAAGAAGACACACAATTATATATTTGAAATTTAAGTTTTCTTAACTTCCTGCTTACGGACAACTGGAAAACATACAACAAACTGACGAGCATTACAGAAAACCAATATACTGTTTTCATTTCGTAAACAAGTATAAAAATAAAACAAACAAACATCAAAACACATTGCAACCTATGCACTGTTATTTATAAAATTCCAGAGCCACAGCAATGAAATTTTAATTTGTTTACGTTTGTGACATGTTGCTCTTCGCAAGGTTGACCGCTGATAAGCGGGCAGGTCGATGTGGGTGCTCTTCTCTTTGGAGATAAACAGCGGACTCAGAGCGCAAAATACACGGAAAAGCTGACGTATAAGAGCTGGCTATAGGCCTTAGACAAACAACAAATGAACTTACACGCTGAGCCGAGAATTAATCAATGGAATTTATAATTTGGCCCAAATGAGCAGACGGTGCCACATTAGGGCCTCGCGCTCATGCGGCGTATGCGCAATTAGGCGACCGAGCATTATGAAAATAAGGCCTGCCTTTGGCTGCCTGTACAGTGAACACCACGRAATGGAATGGAATGAAATTAAGAAAATATGTTGCACTCTTTTGCGTGGCTCACAGCTGTAGTTGCCGCGCTTTTGTTTCTGTTGAGATTGTCTAGATTGTTGTTATTGTTGGCAAGTTTGCCAAGGGTTGCTGCTGGAATTGTCTTTGGCTTTATTTGCCATTCGCTAGCTGGCTAAGTCTGTGGCTGCCGGCTGCCGGTTGCCGGCTGCTTCCACAGAAGCCAACTTAATTTGCCATAAAATGCCAGACCGGCACTTGATTTGCTTTGTTGAATTAGAGTTGTTGTAATTGTTCGTTGTGCACGCCGGAAATTAAATGATTTAATGAAATTGCCAACATTCACTTGAGCCTGGCTGCTGCAGCTGCTGTTGCTGCTGCTGGTTCAGGGTTGGGGCGCTATTACAGGGCGATAATGGCGCAGCCCCAACATTTTAGTTAATTGAAAAAAAAAGGTTTTCATTTTATTCCTTCTTTTTCCGTATTCAATTGGCAGCCAAAGTTTGCCAAAAGGTCGCCATGGTGTGGATGGCCTAAGCGATTTTAAATTACCTGCCATTGTGTTTGTCTGTGTGTGTGTGTTTCTAAGCGACATTGTCCGTCCAGCGTATGCCCTTGCTGCGACACCTTCAACTCGAATTAATTGAGTGCTAATCTGAGCGACAGCCGGCAGCCAGCCACCATTTATGAGCTGCAGCCTGCAGCCTGCAGAGTGCAGAGTGCAGGTCGCTGGCCGTCTGCCTGCCGTCAATCCTCACTTCACTCCTAGAGTGCTGCTTCTTCTTCTTCCTCTTGAGGCCCCTCACACATTCGCATATTAAAATTTTACACCTTTTTTGTTTCTAATATGCTATGACAACGGACAGAGAAACATTCCGAGTAAATGCACACAAATTGTGCACAGATGTGAGCACACAATTTTGCACACACTCACACATGCACACTCACATATGCACAGCCATACATATGTAAATTAGATACCGGCTGTGCATTGATTGTTGCCAACTGCTGGCTTCGCTTTGGCTCTGCCTGTTCCGTGTTGTTGCTACAGTCTATAATATGGTCGGATTAAGCAGAGTTTGAACAGATAATATTGCCAGAGGGCAAATTTGTACAAGCCTTGCTCAGCATTTGTGCATAAAGTCGAACTAAGCATATCGGAGAGTGTCGATCTCCACAGTAAACAAAATAAACAAGTAGTAGAAATACAAATGGAAATGCTTAGTACAAACGGTTCTTAGACTGAATTTATAAAGTAAATCTTATGTGAGTGGTAAATGGAAACAACGACGTAAGCGAGCTGATTATAAACAAATATTTCATACAAGGGGCTGGGGTTATCAACACTATATATAGGCATATATAATTTCAATATGTTTATATTCTTTTATATACAGACAAACAGATCAATTTAGTGATCAGCCTTGCTCTATGAATGAAAACTAAAATAAGCTAGTTTTAGCCGATTCACTATATATATATATGTTCATATATTACCTTACCTCGCATAATTACTCATCTCAACTCAACTTTTCCGTGCTCATTTCAGTCCACGTGCACTGCGAGAATGCAGCGCTGTTGAGCTGGGTTAGACGGAGGCGATAAGCAGAGCTCGGAAAGCCAACGAAAGTCAAGAACAAAACACGCCGACGATTGACAAGCGAACGAACGTGCAGAGCAACAACAGCAGAAGAAGAGGCAGAGAGCACGCTCAGATGGCGCTGCAGAGCCGGCTCGGAGCCGGACGCGGTGGCCGGGTAATGAGCTATACGAACTACGCCCTGCTGATGGCCACAGTGCTGCTGGTGTTAATCTCAGCGCATGTCAAAAGCGCCAAGCTGCATGAGGAGCCGCAGTTGAGTAACGTTGCCATTGACAAGGCTGAGCGTAACAACAACGATGACAGCAACAATAGCAACAACAACAACAACAACGAGTTCGTCAAAGAGCACGTGAAAGATGCAGCTGTCACTCATCCTTATCATCAGCATGTCCACGGGCAGCACAAGCCTCACTTGCACCATATGTCACAGCTGAGCAATCGTCGCGCCTATCACAGCAAATATAGCATCGAGCAGCTGCTGCACATGCATGTGACACCGAAGGTGTCCAACGATATCGATATGGACCCTTGCAAGGCGGGTGAGTAGTATCCCAGTTATATGACAATAGACTCTTATGTGTAGACTCCCCGCGCTCCTGTGTTAAGCCACATATCTCATGTAGTGCCGCACTTACGCTGCCTCAGCTAAATCGCTTTAGCACCAAGTCAATCTAAGTGTCAGCTCTATACTCCACATATATATACATATGGTATATAACATATTGTTATTGTGGAGCGCCTGAGCCCGTTGCGACGGCAGACTTTGTAAGCCAATTGCAAAGCTTTGGAAATTATATTGGCTCCGCTATGTCTTAAGTTTGAGTAAAAGTGAAAAGTCTTGTAAACTCGAGTCATATACCATGAGTTTTCCTATCGCATTTCCCACTGTTCACCCACCTGCTACCTTTGCAATGCCGTCAGCTGCAGCGCTGAGAATTAAGCGTCATTGTAGCTATCTGAGTGCGCTGGCTCAGATCAACTTGCCCGGCTGTTCAGCTCAACTCAATTGAATTTACCTCGGTTTTCTGGAACGAAATTGACTGAGCAATGCCTCCAGAACGAGCATATCAATGTCCGTGTCCGTGTCTATGGCTGTGTATGTGTGCGTGTGTGTGCGTGTGCGTGGAATAAGTTCGATGAAGAAGACGACGATTGCAATTTGTCTGACGGCAACTGGGGCGCCTGGTGTGGCCCCAGCCATACTCCGTCTGCGGGCGCCTCTGCCGTGAGTCTGCCTTATAAGTATGTGTGCACATCAATTGTCAAAAAGTTGGCTCCATAGAATCTACGAGCAAACGATTTCCCGCCTTCAGTGCCATTGGCAATGTACGTATCAAGTGGCTCAGCGAATCGACAATGTCTCTCGCACAATGGGGCCAATACAAGCACCGGAAAAAATCAAGAGCCAAAATAAAAATACAATATATACATTCCTTAAATAATTTATCACTGACTGCAACATTGATTTGGAATATTTAAGTAAAATCATTTAAGTATCATAATTCAAATAAAATCGATAAATATATGTCTCTATAAATAAGACATGAAAGATACATATAAACAAAATATTTGACTTTTCAAAATAAACAATTTATTGATCTGAGTAACATTTAATGATACTTAAAAATGTATTTGTTATATCTATTTGTATTCATATAGGTATTATACGATATATCTATGATATTCTCTTCATTTACGAATATTATGTAAATACATACTTGTAAATTTCATCAACATCAATGCGCTCATATGAAAGGAAAGATGATTAAAGGAAAGATGATTAAATTTATCTCATTCATATATAAGGCATTATATTCTTTGTTTTATTTTAATACTTATATAATGCTAAAGTCTAGATTTTTATCTTTTCTGCTATGATACAGACAGATTTTATTGTAAAGGAAAATTCGTTAATACTAAGCAAATATATAGAAAATATACAGCTGCTTCTATATTATCAAATGATAAATCATTTTTTATTTATTTATTTTCATTCATTATTATTTATTTTATCTTACATGTAATGTTTGTAATTAATTCTCATTTTACTCTGATTAAAATCTCCTAGTTTTATATCTCATTAACTTTTTTTTTATTAATTATTAATTTCGGAATTTTTAATAATAATCCACTTTAAAATAATTACTTTTTGTATAGAATAAATATGTGTGTGTGTATCTATTGCAAGCAAGTTAAGCAATTCAATGCGACTGTGTTATTATTTGCTAGGATCACCGTCTGTGCACCTTTGCTTCACTGTACCATCAGCTGGTGACTGACTGTCTGGCATTTCTTTGCTGGGCATTTTCGAAGGTCGCCCTGCCGTCTACCCAATTTACGATTCAGACACGGCTACATTTCAACACATACGCACCCATACGCCTCTATTTGAATGTTTGTGTCTATGTGGGTGTGTGTATTTCAGTTAGTGTAGGGCATGCTCTGGCATACTCCTAGATAAACTGGCCGTCATTAATCAGAGGGCTGCACATTGTTTTTCACGCGCGCGATTTTGTCATGCTAACAATTAATGAATTGTTTGCATTCTGTAGCCCACAAAACTGGGTCACAACTGATTTATAATAGATACACACACACACTCACACAGACACAGGCAAGAGCACCCCACTAAAAAGGGAGCCTAATGTATGCAAGTGCACGCAACAACAAAAGGGACGAGAAATACAAACAATTTTTTCTCGGTTTTCCTTACGCAGCACACACACACACACACACACAAAAGTAAATTAATTGAATTCTGTAGTGAGTTCAAATCAATGTCCAACACAGCATTTGGATGCCCTAAGTGGAACAAGAAAAGTCAATGAACTTTACGTCATTGCTAACTCATTTCGAAACTAGAAAGACCTGCGATTGCTTTTGTTGAGGAGTTTTTCTTTAATATTATTACAAGTCTCTTTAAATTTTAAAATTTTAAATGGAAACTTTTACAACTGTATGTTCACAAATATCATAAATATATATCATGTTGGCCAACAAGTTTCTGTGGATGTCGACAGCTGGGCACGATTTAGTGGCATTGGGAGTTTCGCTAATGAATTTGAGAGTTGCGCAATGCTTGCAAATTTGATGAAAGCACCAATTGGAGAAGGCATCTGTCTGTCTGGGTTACTGCCTGCCTATGTGCCTCGCTGGTTGTTGAGCTGCAGCTCGGAATTAAACCGCAAATGACACTACAAATGTGAAAATGGCGTTCAAACGCAACACAGAATGCCCCCACAGCAGATAACTAGGCAACGTTGCCGACAGTAATGATAACAACAACGTTTTCGCAACCGCAAGCCGAGCGACCAAAACGTCAGACTCTGCGGCTTTCACCAGCCTGGGAAGCATAAACAACCTACTCAAGGCGCAAGCGACAGCAAATAATTTGGACCATCCACACAGACGGACACACCAACAGACACAGACAGAGGCAGAGGCAGAGAGGCAGGGACAGACTCCTACGGCCAGACAGAGTGCAGGAATATGGCCTACGGACGAGAGCGAAACGCTAAGTCGCGCCACACCAGCGCCATTCTTCACTGTCGTTGACTTTTTCAGCCATAGAAATAAAAGGCCACTTAGCAGGCTTTCCATGTATCGTCCAGACAAACACAGCACTCCCAAATGTTAGCAAAGGGAATGCGGTGGGCGGGCAGGGAAGCAGACAGCCAGAAGCAACCACAGACATCGCAAACCATTCACGGCTCTCCACTTTTATGCACTGAATAGCGAGTGCACAAAGTTGCATCCTTAACCCATTAAAATGGACTTACTAGGGTATAATGAATCTCTTAAAATGCGTCTTGATTGCAAAAATGAGTAGAGTTCTTAACTTTACGTATATTTTTACAAGTTGCTAGAATATCTTTGCTATAAATATATAATGTTTCTTTGTCTCATTCTGTTTTAATATATATTAACTTGGTCGTCAAAACGAAGCTTGCTTCAGTTTCGTATACTTGATATAAAAGAAGCTCGATTGCGCGCATTCGAATGTATTGGTTTACTCAGGGTATCTAGTAGTCGGCCACTCCCGACAATACTGCACACTGAATTGTTTCTGCCTAATTCAGTGGCAGTAAACGCAGATGTATTTGTTTAGTCGACAAGAAGCTGAGTGCATGAAGTGAGATTGCAGCGCGGCTTTGTGGCAACAGAAAACTTTAGGAAATCTTAGATTTTAGTTACAAATATGCATGTAGTTTTACAATATGTATATATATGCATATATGTTCCACTCCCTATTAAGTATGATTTGATGACTTGCTGGAAAAATGCGAGAAATGCGGTCAAGTCAATTGAATGCCTAAGCTATGGAAACTTGCCTAGAACTTATTGCTCTCTTATTTACCAGAGGGAACTTCTTATCTACTTTTGATTGTCAAGACCACAACCCAAGGCCATAAGTTTCCAGCTGCTTAAGGCGAAAGTTGCTCTTCACTGAAAGAGAAGGAAGCTTAACAATTTCATTGATTGAAAATATATATAATGTATTATTATATTCAACTTGATGCTACTCTGTGTACTTTAAGTAATGTCCCTAGCAGGAGTAATACTTCGTATCTATTGGAAACATACAATGCAAATACAATTAAACCTTTAGCGAGATTTGACAATCTTAAGATAATTGTGTATGCCTCCAAAATCAAAGTAAACCTATATGCCTTATTTTCCATCATATTCTAGGCAATCCAAAAATATATATATATTATTCATACAAATTAGTATAAGAGAGAGGGAGAGATTACCCGACTAAAAGACACCGCATTCATTTAATTGAAAGCCACGACTGGTCTATAACTTATCACCAGAATACGTATATACAAGAACTGAAGCGGATTTCTATCAGATCTCTAGCTGTCATATTACAAAATTATATATGAGCTTGTGGTCCTCTTTATATTGTTTACTTTATTTGATTTGAAGTACCTGATTTGGCTTAAAAATAATAAGTTGATGAAAAATTATGCATCATTATAGTAATGTATTGTCAATAATTTTAAATTAACAACAAATTTGCCTCGATAGCAACGCACAACAAACATTTCATCATGACCTTAATTTGTCATTATAATTGAAGAGCAGAGCTAGAAGAGCATCATGGGTGTGAGCTGTGGCTTTAGTTAGCGATTCAAAGGAACTCGGTCACTTTGAAAGTTATGAGGATGTCAACGAAATCATGAAATTTACATTTGTTCTCATTGTATGTAGCTGTGTATCCCGGGCCTTCTAGTGCCGTGTCAAGGATTGTGAAGCGGGGTAGATTAGTTTCATGAAACGTGTTTATCAGATAAAATGATGCATGAAGCAAGAATAGCAAGAGCCATATGGACCATACATGAAAATAAGGAAATATTTGACTATTTGGTGTAATATTCATATCTAAAAAATTTAAGAAAAATTCAGACTCTTCACACCCCGATTTATGAATAAATTATTTCCCAGTATGAGCCCCGTGTGTATATCAATAATTAAAATAGAATCGGGCGCATGGTGAGCGTATTTCCTAACCGTGCATTTCCGATTAAAGCAC